ACATTTTTTATTTCCTTCCCTCCTGACCTTAGGAGTCTTCTTTCTTGGTATAAGGCCCCATGAACGTGAACAGTGGCAAAAGCATACCGGCTGTCCGTGTATATAGTCACTGCCTTTCCCTTCCCCCACCGTAATGCTTGGGTGAGGCTATTAGCTCTGCCTTCTGAGCTGATGTCCCGAGCCCCAGTGCCTGCGCCCAGATTACCTTGTCAGCTGTCACGACCGCTGCTCCTGCGAACCTGGTCCCTTTGACCACAAAGCTGCTTCCATCAGTGTATATAGGGTCTCATCAGGGTCTGGCAGGGACTGGTTTGTCAGGTCCTCTCGAAGGTTCTGGAGCTTCTTGATCGAGGACAGGGTTTCAGTGCAGCCATGAGGGGCTGCTCGGGGTCATCATCAGGCAACAAGGTAGTTTTGAGAAAACTGACACGCGGGGGATCAAGCAAGAGTACCTGATACTGGGTGATCTGAGTATTCTAGAGCCAGCGCTCTGGTGGGCTTTGCAACTGTGCCTCCACAGAATGTGGAGCTACTACTTGCAAGTCCTGCCCGAGGGTGAGTTTTGAGGCTTCCTTTACCAATGTAGCTGTAGCTGCTACTGCTCTCAAACACCCTGGCCACCCTGCAGTCACAGGGTCTAGCTGCTTGGATAAGTATGCCACTGGCCTTTTCCATGGTCCCAGGGATTGGGTTAACACCCCCTTTGTGATTCCCTGAACCTCTGCCACATGTAACTGAAATGGCTCTCAGGTCTGGCAGCACTAACGTTGATGCGCTGACTAAGGCTTGTTTAAGATCTTGAAAAGCCTTAGTTTCAATTTCAGTCCAGTTCAGTTTCTCAGTCTTTCCCCAGTGCAGGTAACAGGCTCAGGAGGGTACATGGATTAGGCACCATGGGATGTACAGTTTCTACCCTCTTATTGACCTCTCTTAAGTCCTGAACAGGTCTGAAGTCCTCCATTCCTGGTTTCTGTACAGGAAGCAATGGGGTATTCCACGGGGAGTGGCAAGGGACTAAGATTCCTGCCTTTTTCAGTCTTTTTATGTGGACTGTGATGCCTCTTCGGGCCTTTTGGCTTACTGGATATTGCTTAACCCGTACTGGAATTGCTGTGCTGGAGAGTTGTACCACAATTGGGGCTCTGTGGACCGCCAATCCTGGGGTTACTCTCTGCCCATACTCCAGGTATTTTCTGTTGCAGCTCTTGGAGTAATGGGGCATCTG